TGCAGTATAGTTAGTAACACAGTTGTTAAGTGTGACTGGCTTCCCCATTGACTTTGTTTGTGGCAAAAAGTGATCCCATGACTCTGGGACACTGCAACCGTCATAAACATGAATCAGTTGCCAAGCATCCGAATTTTGATCACATGATCATGGAGATTTTGCAATGGTCGTGTGAAAAACAATCTTAAGTCACTTTTTTTAGTGCCGTTCGAACAATCACTAAACAAACTGTTGTAAGTCAAGAACTACCTGTACCTTAATATATTATATCCATTTTATGTAATATATGCTAAATTTAATGTCATACATTTAATACTCATAAGAAATATGAAAAGAGAATACTTTTATCCACAGTAATCAGGAAATTCCATACAATATACATCTGAACTTATGGCATACCCTTGTGATATGTTCAGACTATTTTAGTCTCCTTCCCCAGACTATAAACCTAACAAAGTGAAACATAAACTCCATTGTCACTTGCCTAGTGAACAGTGGTTTTCCTATGGCCTAAACAAGTGGAATTGCCACTTTCCTTATTCACAGCAAGACAGAAGGATACTGAAGAGGTAAATCAGACACATTTTAAACATGCTACTCCTAGTAATCCCAATTTGCAGTTGCAACACAAAATCAGGAAACATAAGACATTGATAACTCTCTATACCTTAAGGAATAACAGTTGATAAAACTACTTGGGGGCTATAATGACGTTTTCTCCAGGTTATTTTCCAGTGGAGTTGTTATTTGCAATGTAGTATGCAATTAATCTTTTTAGCTTTGCAGAAAAATGTCACATGGTGCTTTGTTTACATCTGTAAATGAAATGTGTTACACATTAACTTAAGCAATGCAAACACATGATGTAATCTATAGATTACCAAAGTGGAAGAACTACGACTGTTCCAATTTTACTTCTTGCATATGATATTAAAAATACCTGTACTTCCCTAAATTCTCTCAAGTGCTATTTGAGCAAAAGATGTGTTTGTTCTACGTATTCTAGATCAGAGGTCCCAAATATTTTGGGCACCAGGGACTGGTTCTGTGGAAAAAGGATTTTCCACGGACCGGAGAGTATGTGGTTTTGTGTGCAGCCTGCATCCTTTGGATGGGGCTTTGCTTGTTCATGCGGCCCAGTTGCTTGCATGCTGCAGCCCGGTACCGGTCCATTGACTGGGGATTCAGGACCCCTGTTTTAGATGAATGTATGAACTTACTCCTATGGCTTAACATTGAACGTCTTCCGGTGGCCTAATATTGGGTAATATGGAAGTCCTTCTTTTATTAGCAACTCATTTACGTTCTGTTAAAATTCTATATTCACTCATCAGGGATTAAGCTCCATATGGTTTCTGAGTAACAGTGCATAGGGTTACATGTAGCTGTTAGTCTCCTGCCACCCCAACCTAATTGTCTTGCTTATTTTTTCTCAACTATCCATATATGAGAGGAGCATTTTGGGGCTGATATGATTTTTAAGTGACAGGAAATGACTCACTCTTAGAAAACTGAATCTTGTCAATATTTTCATTCTCTCCATATATGATATGGAAGAATATGAGAAAAAATTTTAACACAAATTTGTGGAACACTACATGTGGCACTTTTTTTTACAGAGTTGGGAAAATAAGCATTCTGTGTGGAGGTTGGCCTCAGAGTTAACCTGGAAGAATAAGCCACAAGTGCCTTCTCTGTGAACATACACTAAAATATACTACACATGTTCATATATGTATGCTTACTAGTGGGTGTCACTACCCATTTTAAAGCTCAGAGCTCAAAATTGTGAGAAAGATAATTTCACTCAGTTTTATTCACCATTCTGATGGCGTACAGGGCATAAGCCTCTCAATCTGAGTGCATACTCCTGGTTTAATATAAGCAGACACTGGGGGAAAACAGTGAAGAGCTTTAAAAATATTTACACATTCAAGGATCCACCTTTTCCCAAAGTGCTCTGACCTTTTAGAATAGTGTTTATCTCTTGGTTTCCTATGTTTTGGATTTGTGGCTAGTATACTTAATTAAAGCAGAAAGAAATAAAGCTCCTTTATAGAAGTTGCCTGAGACCAGGTCATTAGGCTTCTATTTTTTTTCTGGATGAATGGACATATTCTCACTAGACATATTGTGGCCCACCTATTTTAACTTCTGCTTGGAATAGTTTGCAATTGAAAGAGATACCTTTCAACCCACTTAAAGTGGCTAATTCAATATATTTAATATTTTCTACCCATACTTGTTCAATGAAATACATTCCAATGAAACATTTTAAGAGGCTCAAATGTCCCCCATCTTTTTTCCATGTATACTTTGTAAGATAGTCAGACTCAAGTGATTTCCTTGAGACAGATAACTGAATTAATAAAACCTGATGGGCAGATCAAGTTGCTGTGTCTTTTTCAGTCATGGGAATCTGGAAAGACTTACTATTCAGACATACTACTGAGAACTATTGACTGCCTGCCGTGTAGGTCTTCTATTGTATATGCTGTATATTGATGTGGAATAGCACACCTGTTTAGAGTTATAAAATTATTTTAAAAACTATAGAATTTTAAACATTTTATATTTTTATAAAATATAAAAATGTATAAAATTAAACAAAGTTTAATAGAACCATTATTTGTGTATGTCCAAGATGATAGGGGAGATAGGTTATATGATTCATACATGATCTCTGTTTTCAGAAAAAAAGTCAAGATGATTTCTTATTTATTAAACAAATTTATATAGCAACCCATCTACTATTTCTTAAGGCATTTACATCACTAGGGATTCTTCTTATGAAATTTCTAAGAAGCTTTTGGGTAAGAGGTACAGTGAAAAGTTATAAGCTTTGTTGCTAGTTTTATTGAACTGGGCTTTCCAATATGGGAAAAACAGAGAATTCCCAAACAGGAAAAGTTAGTATTTTTGTTTGGAGTTAGACTGTATTCTATTAGCAATGTTAATCAAATTAGCTATTGCAACCTCAAGTACCAAATGAATTGGATATTTGAAAGAATCTTTAATAAGGGCCTCTTGCTGAATTTTATTCCTTATTTTCTTCACTAACCCTAGAAACAATTTAGAGTTTTTCAGAAGTGCTTACAAATATGGGTTATGTTCAATAAATCAGATGTGTCTAATGTAGTTTTGAAGGTTCTAATATGCTTTGGGGATACTGGCAGATTTCTCCTAACATGCCTGACATTTCATGATCAACTCTCAGCAGCATGATTCTGCAGCAGAACATGGATGCTGTTCTGGATTGTGTAACCCTGACTAGAGCATGTAGATCTGTATGTTAGAACAGGGCTTTTCAACCAGTGGTACGGGTACTACCTGTGGTACATTGGCACCAGGCAGGTGGTACGTGACCATCCTAGAAAAGTGGTAGTGGGGGAGGGGAATGAGAGCGCCACTGAGCGGGGAAGCAGGTGTCTTACTCGGCTGTGCCTTGGGGGGGGCACTTTTTTCAGTGCCATTGTAACTTTGAACAGTCACTAAGCGAATTGTTGTAAGTTGAGGACTACCTGTACTTTATCACTTTTTTTCCTTTTTTGGGGGGTCATCAAGTTTTTGACACCTTTCTAGGCAACTGGTGGTACTCAGATATTGCCATATCCTAAAAGTGGTACAATGGGTGAAAAGGTTGAAAAGCCCTGTGTTAGAATGTTTGGCATTTATTGAGTTAAGTGCTGTCTCCTTAAGAGATGGCTTATGGGTAATGTAGTTTTAGCTAGTCAGCAAATCCATGTTATCAGATCTGTGGGAGGAGCCACTAAAGTTCATCACAGGATATCCTGGCCATGTGCCAGTTTGGAATGCCTTTGTCTGAGTTAAGCATGGAACCACCGGAGGACTCAGATGGCCTCATTCCACATTAGAAGTTGGAATGCAAGAATTTCTGAATTAAATATCTGTTTTAAAATCATTCTTATTGAGTTTATCTGTCTGATCTGGGTTTACAAAGCAACTTAACTCTGGATCGGAATAGATGCAATCTTTGTCCATTTCTTCTTAAATAATACAATGATCAAACGTTTTGAATCTGGCCTCAGTAAATTTTCTCTTTGGACACACCAGCTTAAATACTTCTGAAGACTGAGGTTCCTGGGTGAAATATTATGGACTACAACACACCCCTCCAAAGGATCTCTCATCTCATATCTCTGCAGGCCATGACTGGCCATAGTGGGATAAGAAAATCATACAGTCAGTAAGCATTGGACTGTAACTCTATGCAGCATAGTGGAAACTAGTGGCTAAGACCCTGCTAACCATGTGATCTGCTTCATATTTGTGGACTGAAGGTTTCTTTAGTAATGGATGGAGACTCTTTCTTAACTTAGAGGCCTGATTCTAGCTTGAAATCAGACTAGTCTTGCCCACTCATAGAGGTTGGGAAAAATTCTACACTGCTTCAGATAACATCCAGGTTCTCTAAAAAGACAAGAGATGACCAATTCTCCATTACCTATTTTCCTCTAGAAGGAGCAGTGTATGCAGAAGTAGACTTGGTTTATTTAAAATTGATTTAGATTGGACTGCTTACATCTTAATTCAACCATCTCCTTGCTCTGACCCCTCATGGATTTTGGGGGAAGACCCAGCTGACTTTTTCAAAGTCTCCATCCTATTCTAAGAGTCAGTTTGGTGTAGTGGTTAAGCACAGGACTAGAAACCAGGAGACTGTGAGTTCTAGTGCTATCATAAGCACAAAGCCAGCCATCCTTAGCCTGTCCCTCTCTTTCAGCCCTAGGAAGGAGGCAATGGCAAATCACCTCTGAAAACCTTGCCAAAGAAAACTGCAGAGAGTTGTCCACTCAGTCTGAAAATGGACAGGATTGAACAGAAAGGGAAAAAAAACCTCTCTTCCTAATGAATATAGGAAGAAAGGAGAAATCTGCTCTAATTAATTGCTCAAAACAAACCAGATTCATAATTCTAACCTTCCTCAATGCTCTTAGCAGCATCTACTTAAGTAGGGCAATTTCTCCCACCCGGTGACATTTGGGTAACAGAAACCAACCCACAATTGAATCTTTGGTTCAAATTCTTCTTGCGAAGGGGAGGAGGAGTTCCCCCGCATCCGCTTCCAGAGGCTCGTATGGTAACGAGGCTTCACACTTCTATTATCTCCTCCAAAATATCCAGCAATTCCACAAAACAACAACAAAAAAACCCCAGCTGATTGACCTGAGAATCTTCCTCCCTCTAGGATATCCTGCTAAGCGTTGTCTTCTTGTTTCAAAACCTCCTGAAACTTGTTGGTTTTGCGAGAAAAACGCCCTCCGCAAAGATGTCACCGGAATAAAAGTTTAGTTCCAACAACCACGCGTTGCGAATCGCCCATTTCTGTAAAACTGGTGTCATAAGCCCTTATATGCTACAGTCTTAAAAAAAAAAAACCTCTATCCGTTTTCTACGTTACTTAAAAAAAAAAAAAAAGCAGCTTCCTGCTCGTCCTTTCATCGCCCTAATCCTGGCGACCCACCCTTTTTGGCTTCGAGACAGTTTCTGAAGCCTTTCCCTCCCGCTTCCTTTTCCCCGCGCCGCCTGCCACGAGGGGAAGATAATTTTGTCCAACAGGCTGCCGCGGCGACTGTTTTCCTCCACTTTAAAGTAAATCCCCAACCTTCTTGGTGGTGAAGCGGAAACCGGTTAGTGGGTTGATGAGAAATGACGTGTGAAAACAAGAGTGACTTTGTACGATTCCCGCCCGCCAGACAACTGGCCAGTCATTCACTGGCCTCGCTGGTGGAAGGCAGAGGCAAAGGAGAAAGCTGGGAGGTGAGGCGCACCCGCTCATCTTGGAGCTGAAAAAAAAAAAAAAAACCCCCAAAGAAAACAAGCAAGCGTGAGAACGAGACCTTCCCAATCCGGGCAAAGTTTGTTAGAGCGGAGGTGGGGAACCCACCCGCCTCCTTCAGCTTGCGGGGAACTGTAAGGGCATGACTAAGTTCCCGAAGATGATCACATAAAGTCACGGAGGGGAAGGAGGGAGACTTTCTCCATGTGCTGGAAGCTGCCGGAGAACTTTCTAACACCGATTTCCCGTCCTTGCTGTGTGTGTGTGTTTTGGGGGAAAGGCAATGACCGAAAGCAAAGATGCGGTGGGGGACTCATCTTCTCAGGAGCAAAAGCAAGACAAAGAAAGGAAGAAGAAAAGGAGGAAGAAGAAAGATGTCAGGAAGGTGCGGATTGTAGCTTCGAACCTGTTGTCTCCCTGGCCTGAAATGGAGACCTCCAGGCAGCCAGCTAATAATAGACTGAAGACCACCAAATACACAGCAGTGTCTTTCTTGCCCAAGAATCTCTTTGAACAGTTCCATCGCTTTGCCAATGTATACTTTGTTTTCATTGCTTTACTTAATTTTGTGCCGGCTGTCAATGCCTTCCAGCCAGAGCTGGCTTTGGCCCCAGTGCTCTTCATCTTGGCAGTTACAGCAGTCAAGGACTTGTGGGAAGACTATAGCAGATACCGGTCAGACCAGGAGATCAACCATATGGAATGTTTGGTCTATTGCAGGTAATGGGATCAAGAGAATGGTGTGGAAAGTTGAAAAGTGGATCAAAATGCAGAGGATGCGGTGCTGGGTGAACAGAATGGGTTGGGAACTAAGATAAATGGGGCAGTTTTTGAAAAGTCTGTGCTGCTAGCTCTTGCTAACTGTTTACTGCTTTCCCCTTTTTGAGCAAATATAATGACCTCCAGTGACATAGTTAAGTAATGATAGATTATAAGGCATCAATGTGTTTGTTCCATTTGAAATGTATGAGTGCATTTCACTTACTTGAAAACATAATGCACAACCCCCCTTGTCTTTGCAGGGTTCCTGCTATTTCCTACCTTGATGGCTCCCTAAGTGTCATACTAAGTGTCCACCACAGATTTTGGATTCTCCATTCACCTTTTACTTTCTTCACTTTCACAAGACTACTAGAAAATTATGTTGTGCTACTATATTAATATGGTTCTCATCTAGACTGCAGCCCCTAGGTTAATTTCTTTTTTTCTGGCAATATATTTCATTTTCTTTTCACTACTTCCATCTGTACATTTCTCTGCATGGGCTTTGTTTATATGAAATCATGCCACAAAAGTTCTATTCTGTGCATCTTTTTCTCTGTGGGAGAAAAAAAAGGCCGCCTTGAGAAATTGGCTGGTGGATTTGTGGAAGATTTTTCCCTGTAGATTTGTGGGAAAGTGTAAACATGCTATATTGGCCTACCTCCTGATGGATTTTGGTTGATCAGTCATCCCAACCTTTGAATTGAAAAGCCAAAAGGCATTTTGGCTGACAGGAAAAAGCAGGACTGCTTTAAGGTGATTCAAACAGGTACTTTGTCAATCGTTTCTCTGCTGTATGCACTATGTTCAACTCTGGGTTTTGAATTTGAGGCGCTGCCTTTAATAGGACTTTGACCCAGCATAACTTATTTTATGTTCTATAAATTGCATTGAAATAGTTGGGACCATGTGATCAAAGAACCACATGGAAATCAAACTATTGAATAAACCTGCTTATAATTACCACAATGGAGTGAGATTCTGTGAATTACAATGCTTGTGCAAGTCTCACTGATTCCATGTATTAGTGAGTGCAGTCTTGCAGTGTTATATTCTTTTCCCAAAAGTAACTCCTTGACTGTCTTTTTAAATTATGTATCTTCACTCAAATTTCTTCCAATTTAATTGATATTGCTAATGCTTGTGAAATATTTTCCTGCTAATTTTAGGCATGGGAAATATATTTTTTTTCATCCAATATGAACTTAAATGTTGTTAGTGTAAACATTAAATTACCAATGAGTGGATACAATACTTAAATTACTGGAATATATGGAGCAATATAAAATCTGTTGTCAGTTAAGTTTCATGCAGTGTGAAATTATGACTGAATTCTAAAATGCCTTATTTCATTAATGCATCTTTGAGATTATTTTACAGCAAAAAGAGCTATATTTATAGTTACAGTATATAGTATTCCTCCCCTAATAATTTTAAATCTTGTTATAGTAAAGTACAGTTAAACCTTTACTGACCCAACAGAAAATGTGATAGCAAAGCATGAAATAGTTAAGTTTTTTTTTGTCTTTTTATTTCCAAGGTCTGATTTGTGTATTCATTTAATACCATCTTGTCACTTTATTATTTATAGGTGAATTGGTGAAAAGACAAACTTTATTGCCAGTTATTATATCCCTAATCTAACAAACCATGTTTGTTAGAGCATGACCACATTAGATACAGGTAGTTCTCGACTTACAACAGTTCATTTAGTGATCATTCGAAGTTACAACAGCACTGAAAATAGTGACTTGACCATTTTTCACATTTACAACCATTGCAGCATCTCCCTGGTCATGTGATCAAAATTCAGACACTTGGCAACTGAATCATATTTCTGACGGTTGCAGTCTCCTAGGGTCGGGTGATTACCTTTTGCAACCTTCTTACAAGCAAAATCAATGGGGAAGCTAGATTCACTTAACAATCTTAACAGCTGCAGTGATTCACTTGTGGCAAGAAAAGTCATAAAATGGGGCAAAGTTTACCTAATAACTGTTTTGCTTAGCAACAGAAAGTTTGAGCTCAATTGTGGTTGTAAGTCGAGGATTATCTATACTGGTCACTGGCCATAATAAAGATTGTGTTCATGTTTCCATTTGTCTTTATTTTTATGCTTATGTTAGTGGAAGATGTGTCTGGTTACAATGTCTCAGCTAAAGAGCTAAGGTTTAATTGTGCCATGCAAGCCTGCATTAAAAAACATCATTTAAAGCAGGGGTGTCAAACTCGCAATGTCACGTGACGTGTCGCGACATATCAAGACTTTTTTTTCCAATGGGGTGGGCATGGTTTCGGCATGATGCCTCTGACCCATGGGCCAGCAATTTGACACCCCTGATTTAAAGGGTAAAGCTCTCTTGTCCTATTATTTAAGTCCCCATGCTGGCTGGAGAATTCTGGAAATTGAAGTCCACACATGTTAAAGATGCTAAGGTTGAGAAACATTGATTTATCTATGCAGGCTTGAAGGGCTAAATGCCTTTTGCTTTGGGAGGAAGTCAATGCCAGAGGACTGATCTAGCAAAAATAGTCCTTAATGAAACTCGGCCACAAGTTATAGTTTCCTGTGATCTTCCTCCTTTGCGGGCCTGACTTGAGTCTGACTTCTTAACTGTTAAGATCCATTATACCTGGGCTGTCAAATATCAGTTGATATTTTTAAGACTTTTCTGTTGTGGTGCCTACCCTTTTGAATATCAGTCCTCTAGAAAATACATTGGCCCAACCTGTTGCCTTTCCCAAGGCTTTAAAGACGTGGTCTGTCATCAGGCCTGGAGGTCTGGGTGTGTATCTGAGCCTGTGCGAAGGCTGTACTAATCTGTGTTACGGTGTTTTACCTTGGTTGTGAATTATCTGTATGTTTTTTTAAATCACTGAGGTTTTTATTCTGTTTTTAATTATTGTTAACCACTCAAAGTCACGCATTTGGAATGAGCAGTCATGTAAATATTCTTTTTTGAAAAAAAATATTCAAAAATTTAAAAAATTCAGAGCAGCTTCCCTTTCTCTTTGAATTTTGATCATAAATATACATAATAAATTGAAGGTTGACAAGCTGGTTAGGCTTCCACCCCACCCCCTTGGGCTGTTTCCTTTCTGGACATTTTACTGTATGTTCTAGAAAACAGCAGGAGATATGAACACTAGAGGTGTGGTGATAGAATAATAGTATTCTGAAGTTTTATTTCTTTTAGTTATTTGGATAGGTACACGCAGGTAGTCCTCGATTTACAACCACAATAGTGCTCAGAATTTCTATTGCTAAGCAAGACAGTTGTTCAGTGAGTCATGTCTCATTTTATGACCTTTTTGCCATGGTTAAGTGAATCACTGAAATTGTTAAGAGAATCACTGAAGTTGTTAAGTGAATCTGGCATCTCCCCCATTGACTTTGGTTGTCAGACAAGGAATAGACATGGAGTGGTGGTCTTATCTCCAGATACAACAAGATACATGAATGATAAACAAGAATGGGGTATTAACAGACAAGATACAGGGTTAGATAAAATATTGCTAGGCCCGGAGAAAAAACAAAGAATATTTATAAACACTTGTTGGAGTATAAGCTATATGAGGAGCAGGTTAAAGAAACAATGGTGACATGGGCAATAGATCTAGGATATAATATAAATATGGATCAATGGCAGCAAGTATGGGAGCGAAATAACAAAATCACATTGGCAACATCATATAAAGAAAACCTGTATAAGATAGTTTACAGATGGCATCTCCCTCCGGCCAGATTAGCCAAAATATATAACGGATACTCATCTATGTGCTGGAAGTGTAAAAAAGAAAATGGTGGACATGTAGAGAAGCACAGGTGTACTGGCGTATGGTCTGGGAAGGGGCAATAGAAATGACTAGGCAAAACATTCAATACAAACCTGAAGCATTAGTATTAGGAATGCTAGAGAAAAATGTAAATAAAGAGTACACATATCTAATTATTCACGTGGTTACGGCGGCAAGGATACTATTTGCTCAAAAGTGGAAAGCAATGGAAGTACCGAGTGGGGAAGTACTAATAAAGAAAATTATGTATTGTGCAGAACTAGATAGGATAACTAAAAGATTAAAAAAATCAGGAAGAAACAGAATTTTATCGAATATGAAATAAATTTTATAGATGGAGGGGAAAAAATGGAGGTCACAGCAAAGAGATAAGTTAAGATAGAGACCAGAAATGTATAGTTGTATATAGATATATTATATGTAATTAATGTACAATATGGACTGAGATGTCAGTGAAAGACGATTTTCCATGTTCAATGTTCTTAATCCTTTTTTTTCTTTGTACTCAATAAAACCTTTTTTAAAAAAAGACTTTACTTGTCAGAAGCAACCTAAGAAAATTGCAAAAAAGAAATACCAGGATCCTGGGACTGTGTAACAATTGTAAATACAGGCTGTTGCCAATCATTTATTTATTTATTTTTATTTATGAGACTTATATACCGCTTTAAGTGCAAGCACTCTCTAAGCGGTGTACACCAGTAAGCAATGTATATATATATTTACATTGCCCCCAACAATCTGGGTCCTCATTTTACCTACCCCGGAAGGATGGAAGGCTGAGTCAACCTTGAGCTGGTGAGATTTGAACCGCTGACCTGCTGAACACAGTCAGCTAAAGTGACCTGCAGTACTGCACTCTAACTGCTGCGCCATCAAGTAACTGGCAACAGTCATAAGTGTGACTTCAGTGCCATTGTAATGATGATTAAATGAACAGTTGTAAGTTGAGGACTACTGTATTCACAAGCATTATAGCATCTGGAATCTGTAGTAGAAGCTCTATGGATATTTGCAGGGATTTGTTATTGGACAATAAAGAGTAATAAAGATTTTTTTTCTAAACTTTGTAGATGGAGGATAAAGTTTCACAGAGTGGAGCTATGAAAAATCTATTCCGCAGAATGCTGAGCTTTATTTAAAAATAGAATAATAAGTGAATTAGAAACAAGATATACTGGAAGAGCTTTAGAAGTCTTCTCAGATCTTAATCCGTATATTCGTTTATACAAATCAGATAACAGATTCTTCCTCAGTTGCTTCATCTACTTTCTGATATTCTTTGGTGTGCCAGCAGTTAATACAAATTATGTTGAATTTGACCAGAAATGTGAGATAGTGATAAAGTTGTGAAAAGGAGGATAACTTGCTGTCAGATCTTTTTTTGTTATTGAGAAAAAAATAATCCATCCTTTGAATTTTGAAAATTTGGATAGTATAACAAACCACAGTGTTGTAAGTATCACTATAGGAGCAGTAATAGGTTTGGAATTGTGGCCGAAGACTGTAATATCAACATATTTGTGTAACAAGGTGCACAACTTTTCATAATTTCTTCTTCCAATGTGATGTATACCTCTATCTAGCAGTGTGAAACAGGTTCCATGTTTAATGATACAAGTTGGAATCCAACTAAGTACAGGCAGTCCTCAACTTACAATAGTTCATTTAGTGACCATTCAAAATTACAACGGCACTGAAAAAAGTGACTTATGACAGGTTTTCACACTTATGACTGTTGCAGCATCCCCATAGTCACAGGATCAAAATTCAGATACTTGGCAATTGACTCATATTTATGATGGTTGCAGTGTCCTGGGGTCATGTGATTGCCTTTTACAACCTTCTGACAAGCAAAGTCAAGGGGGAAGCCAAATTCACTTAACAACCATGTTACTAACTTAACAACTGCAGTGATTCATTTAACAACTGTGGCAAGAAAAGTGGTAAAATGGAGCAAAACTCACTTAAGAACTGTCTTGCTTGCTAAACTTTTCGTTGGATGGCTCACCTCTGGCCTTTGCAGTGCTTCTAAAAATTTGTAATTAGTAACTGCTATGTGACATTCATATAGAATAATTTTCAATTTGCAAGCCTGTCTATCAAATGAGTGCTGCTCTGAGTGAACACCTATAACATCAAGGAAAGGTTATTGCATAGGATAGGGATCAGCACAAGGAAAGTCCTTCACCTAGTTCATACCCCATGATATAAACTTAGAATTAGAATATGGGTGATTGAAACCATATTCCATGTATTGAGGTAGTGTAATTTTTATAGACATAAATGGAGTCCTTTTTATTTTACCTGTTTTGTAACTGTGTCCAGGACAAAATCTTTTTACATTCTGATTCTAAAACTAGCATTATCAGCTCTGTGACTAAGTTCTTTGTTACTGACATTAAAACATGCACTCAAATAATGTATCTCTGAATATTGTTTTTATTTGATGTTATTTTTTTGTCCTGTCTTTAATCAGAACAGTAAATATGTATGTGTGTGTGATACATGAGTGTGTAAATACTGTCATATCTCTGAACATTTCAAACAAGTAGAGACTCAGAATGCATTATATGTTTATATCCCATAAGCTCCAGAATCAATTTATAAACCAGAGATATGGTCTTTGGTTTGTGAAGAAGAGTTTTAAGTGAGCCAAGTCTTCCTTTTATTGATTTTTGAAATTAATGTTTTATTAATTTGTGATAGAGGATTCAGAGTCTCTTGGATTCATTGGTTTTTGCATTCTAGTATATCCATTTAAATGTGGTGACTGAACTTATTGTCTGAAGGGGATGACAATAGCAGTGCTGGTTCTTCAGCCTGGTGTCCCTTGTGAATATTACTCTCATTGGAGATCTTCCTTGGTCACATGCCAAGCTCCATATTCCAACTGTGCAATGTACCGAGGGATCAATCTCTTATTTGTATGAACAGTTCTATGTTTCACATAGAACATTTGAAAAAAAAATAATGATGCACGTTTGCAGGCTGGTGTTTTATTTTAAAAAGATCCATTTGTTTAGGGGGAAAAAACAGCTGAAATATGAATTCAGGTAATGGAGAGTCTCAGAAATGATTGGGGTCGATGTCACCATATTTTCTTATGGTTGAAAGTTGTTTTGAGTTGGCTGCACCTTCTATGGAAGGCATTGTACATGAGTGTCAGTAATCTATTTCCAAACTGGCAAACATGTTTACATTCCCCAAATGTTGGGTAACTGCCACGTAAACTATCCAATATGCACAGCAACAAATATGGAGATTTTTTTAACCATAATGCTAATGGCTGCTCTGCATTTTTAGGACTTGTAGAATATTGTCAGTGATGCTAGGGTCACCATAGCTGTTTAATGCAGTTATTGCAAAAAGAGATCCTACTGCTAAAATTAACAATTATTTCTACACATAAGCAGCCATGGTGGTGCAGTGATTAGAATGCAGAATTGCATGCTAATTCTGCCGACTGCCAGCAGTTTGATTCTCACTGGCTCAAGGTTGACTCAGCCTTCCATCCTTCCAAATCAGCATATTGATTCTGTAAACCACTTAAAGGCTGTAAAGCACTATGAAGCAATATATAAATCTAAGTGTTATTGCTATTGCAAATATATCTCTAGCCTAGTTTTCCCCCATTTTTTTTCTCTGAACATCTAGATTTGCATTTACAACTACGGACAAATGTACAACTACAGACGAATTTTTAAAAATTCTTTCAACTTAAAAAAAGAGAGCTGGCTCTTGTTTTAGATGGAATGAATCAGTTGCCTAAAGCAATGGGTGTGGCAGGGTAGAGGTTAACAGTGAAGATTTAGATGACAAAGGTCTGTGTTGTTTTTCTGGTCCCTCAAAAGCTTAGATGCAGTCTTCAGAGCCCTCCCAGTTGTTGACAGAATTTTAATGACCATATGGGATAATTATGTAATCTTTTTAATAACCAAATGGGGAATATTATTTTCAAATAATACTATTTAATTTAAATTGAATTAAATAACAAATTAAGCATAAATAAATGTATATGCTTCTCAAAGGCCAGCTCCCAGTCCATTTTGCTCCAGGAAGAAAGTTACTGTAGGTTAAATTTTGACACTTTAACTTTCTCTTCTGTTTGTATCATTGCCTATCTGTTGTGTTTGTCTGGGTATAGAGCTAATCGTTTAAATCCATTGCTCCAGCATTCTTGATGGAAGAATTTTATGATAGACTTATATGGTGTAAAGCTAACAATATAACTACAGACAATGACTGTTGCTAAAAAGGACTCTACTTGCTGCAAAGGCACTAGTTCTATAATTAGTTACCTAGATTATAAGTGTGGAGTAAATCTGTTTGGTCAATTATATGTTCTGTGTTTATGACTGTCTGTGGCTAGTTGTGTTGTTGTTTCTTTACACTGCTTATGAAATATGTGGACATTAGGGTGTTTTTCCAAGTTGTTAGGGCAGTGATCAGATAGAGGTCTGGGCAATTGATTCT